TTGGGCAATAGCAGACTTCTGGTAATTATTTCAAGAAAAAAGCAGCACAAGGGCTTTGTTGCAGCTCATTCCCAGATTCACAATCAGACTGCAGCAGGATTTTTTAAACTTGGCAATCAGTCCTTTAAAGAGCCTTCACCTCATTCTTTTCCCTTACAAAAAATGAAGTGTTGACCATGTATTTTGGCATGTTCTCTTCATGCAGATGATTTGCAACAGGTTCCTTACGCCTGTGAGTTTTGTTGCTTTCAGATATGTAATAGCTGTGGGTCATATTCTAGTAAACAAAAAACCCCTAAAACAACAAAGAGAAAACTAAAGTGCAATTTTAAATTTCCTCTATAATTTTCAAATAGATGATAGGCTACTGAAACTATGCATCTGGGCAAGGGAATTTTCTCACAATTTGTAAAGTTTCTCAGAGGATTTAAAAAAACCTCCTGGTACAAAACAGTGCACAGCCATTGACATTCACGTGTTTGCTATTGTGATTAAAAGCCAGAAAAGGGGTCATCTCCATTATGATAAAAATGGCTGGAAAAAACTTTGATTTCTAATATCCCTATAGCCGAGCTGTTTCCAAGCCATTAAAATGGATATACATGCCTGGTGATCATTCAGCTCTTCTGCTCTTTAAAGACAAGTGAGGTTGGCTTCTCCAAGAGTTTCTGAGAACAGTTTTGTGAGGTTGGTATAACCTCCCCATTCCCATGTGGAGGGGAAATCAACAAAACTCTGGGGCATCATTTCCCACACTCCTCGAATACACGGTCTGTTTCATTTTGAGGAGTTCACTGATCTGGTGCTAGTTGAGGAGACTTCAACAAAATTTGTCACCTGTATTTAGCTGACAGAAATGAACAAAAATGGGGCTGACAGAAACCCATTAGGCTTCTGCCACATGTGGCCCTAACTGTCACTGGAATTGTGAAAACTGCAACTGATGATGGACCAACCGGTATGCAGTAGTCTTTTACAGGGAGGTTGAGGCATGTTAGGAGTTCATGGATGAAAATATTCTCACCTGAATAGTTTTAGGAGTTTAATCTTTTTATTTCAACACTGAAATGAAAAGTTTCTCTAAGAATTCTGATCTATTTTTAGGGCAAATACTAGCAACTGTGGTCTTCAGCAAGCACAGCTCTGAGTTTTGTTGCTTTTGGTAACACCAGATACTGTAAATATTTCTTTGGGTTTGTTGGAACTATTTTAATTAAATATTTAAACTTCACCTGTCAACAGAATTGTTAACTTTTATGCTATTCTGACTAATCATTCTCCACATATGTATAGCATAAAGCTCTTAGTTGCTGCTCTTACCAGGTTTGCTCTTAAATTTTATATTCAGTGTTCATCTTAAAAGTGTTTCTTAATTCTGAATTGACTTAGTTGTCTACTTACCTGTAGTGTTTTTTTTTATACATTTAATATATGATGGCAGATTCTCCATTTCTCAAACTAGACCCAGAGTCCTAGCTTTTTCACTATTACATGAAAATAAGTATGAGTGATATACTTCCCAACTAAATCTTACAATATATCAAGAATATATGGTCTCTAACATTAGTTCTAATGTTATTCTAATAGTAATGAATTTTTAAGGAATGTGCAAACTAAGGATATTATATTATGAGGTACTAGCTGAATAAACAGTAGAATTTGCATTAAATTATTTGATATTCTTTTGAAAACAAACGAAAGCACACACATCTGAAACAGAACTTTCTTTTCTGTGATCCTAAGGTTAAATAAAATGCACATATGCTTCCTACTTTATGACTAAGACTATTACAAATTAAATCCTGCTTTAAAAATTGTTATGCTTACCCCATAAACAAGTTCTCCCACCATCCCATTCCAGATTTTTGTCTCTGGATCCCTTGCTCCATACTTTCCATCAGGAACAATGGCAATTTTGTACTTGATACCAATATGTTTTGCAATTTCTGATGCCAGATCTACACAGTATCCTTCAAACTTGTCATTCCCTTCAAACGTATCATGGTTTTTCTTGAACATAACATATGGGGCTTCCTATAATGAAAGAAGTAGAACTGTAAAGGAGAAGTATATTGAACATCCTCTGAAATGTAACATGTCATCTACTCACTGAACAGCAGACATTTTAGCAAAAGTTCATGAATAGTACTAGCACATGTAAATTAAAATGCATGAACAGAAATCCTTCTGGAAAGGTATACTTTTCACTGTAATAGTTACATTATTTACACTATTTATTTTACAATGTATTTATACATACACTGTAAATATTTACATTTACGTACTTACACTGCAATTTGGGTTATACATTTCACAAGATTTATCAACCTTACTAATTAGAGAACACAGAAACTATACGAAAATGCATATGCATTTTATATGAAAGACCTTAGTCCAGTATATGCTAAATTTAAAGCATGAAAAAAGGTTGAACCTATACAGTACAAATGAGTGTGGGATAATGCAAGGTATAATTTACACTTTTGACTTCAGTAAGTAAGCATATTCTCTAACATAGTGTGGCTACTGTTGGTATAACTTCAGATGCACAGCCTGAATGATCTGCTTTCTTAAGGTTTAGAACACATAGTTACTAAGAGACTACATACATTTTAGTGAGAACATAAAGATACATTCCTGAGGAAACACATAACTGCCCCTTTGAATAAACAGTGCAGATTCTGAAAGGTCTTTTAGGATGAATCTAAGCAATATGCATAAACAAGAATGGCATTAAGCTGACACTGAGTTTACATGCTGCATGAAAAAGAAGTACCAAAATATTTTTGGAGCACCAAATTGCTCCATTGAGCACCATTGAAAACAAGTAAAACATGTCTCAAAAAGTGGATCCTACATTCCCTGTGTAAACCGTACAATGACAATAGTGAACATTTTGTGACTGGGAAATCAAGGTGACACTGGAAAAACAAGGTCATGTTTATTTTTTTTTTGCTCTGTGTGGATTCAGACTTCAGCAACCATTATGTAAAACTATGCTTTCTGGTGGTATTTTAGATTACTGCACACTATTTATATTCATATCCAGTTCCAGATAAAACACTTGTCACTAATACCACCCTTTGTTTGAATTTACAGCACAAAATACAAGCATGTAAACTTTCTTCTGTGCTGGACCTTGCGAATGCTGGATTTTTGACACCAACTACATACTTCCTGCATATGTAATTAATACAAAAATAGAAGTAAATGTGTAGTCTGAGAGTATTTGCTTCATTGAAATGTCATCAACATCAGCTGTAAGCAACAGCAATTCTGTAACCTTTACTAGGTGTTTGACACTGGAGGATATGTGGCATTACATGAGAGATAGGGGGACTGAATAAAACAATTTTCAGTGTGTCAGGAAAATTTTTCATTTCTGACACCAAAATGTAGCTCCTATTGGTGGGGTGTGTATCCACACAAGAGAAGAACTTTATAGGCAAGCGGGAATAGCATGTTTAATTTATAAGGTGAAAAGGCACCTTACTCCCTGTAGTAAGTATGCCAGGACCCACTTCCATATACAGATGGTAGAACAGTTCACTGTGTAGTGTGAACGAAGAAAGTTGTGTGGTACATTCACTTTAGTGCGAGAGAAAGTCCCTGATTAAATTCAACATGGTTTGGGAATGGGGAAGTCTGAATGTTTCCTTAACACAGAATCAGGCATTGCAGGAATGTTTCAGGTGTATTCCCAGAATACCTCTCCTCCTATCATCTCCTTACGTTATTTTCTGCTATGGACATGCCTCCTGAGGCCCCATTCCCTTAGCAGTAATTCAGTGTTTGAGGCTTTTGATGCATTATGTTGTGCTGCATCAAAAGGAGCGTGGCCAGCAGGTCCAGGGAGGTGGTTCTCCCCCTCTACTCTGCTCTCATTAGACCCCACCTGGTGCACCATATTCAGCTCTGGGGCTCACGACACAGTAAGAAGTGTGTGGACCTCTCATCTTACTGATTTAGAGCAAAATACAGCAAGTAAAATCTCTTAGAATGCAATTCTCTCGTATAATAAGGTATTACCTCTTGCTGTGACTGCTTTAAAAGGAGAAATAATAAAAGAAGCAGCAATAGAGTGCGACCTGCCAGTGTGAAACAATAAAATTAAAAATAATGGGAGCACCTACTACCTTTTATTATGCTGTCCTATCCCTCCTATTTTACACAGAATAAATATGTTTCTTTAATTGTTGTGCCTACTTTACCTGCCAAATAATGGATGTATTTTCAAAGTAGAAATTGATGGGGGATGTAGGTAGGACTGAATGTGACTTTCTGATAATGACTGTTTGCAAAAAAAAAATAATAAAAATCAGTAAGTAGCACTAGCTCTAAATTCTGTGCATTTCAGGATTTGGGGCTGTTTCAAACTAATGAGGTATGCAGATGTTATTATAATAACATCAGGGCACTGCAAGACATGCTTTACTGGTTTGCTAACAAGCAACTTACACAGATGAACTTGCAAGGTCAGTCTTCAAAGTCATGAAACAGAATCATAGGAACATACAATAATAGAACATCTGATCAATAGCATGCACTCAGCCATATCTTAATGATTTTTTTTTAATCTGTGGCATTGAAAAAAGTGACTTTTTTATGTATAATACAATTACAATAGCATTTTCTAAATCAATACTAATCTTAGTGTAACCATGTTAGTCTAAAGGTACAAGAGATGAAAGACATCTATGGAGTGGTAGTATCTTTTATCAGATCACATTAAATAGCTGAGAATGGTAGGTATGCTTTTTCACTGTTTCTAGTTTTAGACTCTTCTCTTTATTAAAATATTACTTCTCTCCACCATCTTTGAATTTACTACATTTTTGAACTATAAGCACTTAACCTACTGACGTAAAATGCAAGTTTGACTTACTACTGAATGAGGTTTAACACAGCAATATTTGCAAGATTTCAGCTGCTTAATAGTATTCTGTAGGGTAGTGAATCAAGGAAAAGTCCACACTGAAATGATCAACGACTAGCATGGATCAGATATTTGAAATGGTGCAAGCTTTACTTATATAATTCACAATTTTATAACAATATTTAACATTTGTAAATACAAGTTGATGTCTGCAACAATTACCTTTATAGATGTAAAACAAATCATTCCACCACATTGCCACAAATTCATGTGTACAGTAATATGCTCACAACTGATGATTCATGTTACAAGGGAAGCTGGAGAAAGTAGCTAACTCAAATACCAAACAGATCTGTGTTTGGCTTTCCTATTCTAAAGTTCATTTCAAAGTCTTTAAAACACTGTAAAAATAATTTGCAAAAGTGACAAATATTCGTGCAAGGAAATGTTTGATTTTTAGAACAGAAGTGGCACACATCATCACACTTTATTCTGAAAGACACTTCTGTAGATGTCAGTGGAAGGTTTTTTTGTGGTTTTGGGTTGTTGTTTTGTTTGTTTTTTTTTGTTTGTTTGTTTTGTTTTTCCCTTTTTCTGAATAAACTGTCCAGGATTCGGTTTGAAGTCTTTCTTGTTGTCATGCAACAAACTTCACTTTATTCTCCAGTCTAATAAAGAATTTAATTAATAAGATTTCTAATGAAAAAATATTCTTCTATTATGAGAAAGGTCATAGTTAGAATTTTTGAGGTAAGACTCCATCAAGAGTTTATCTGTCAAAACAATGAGGATGATTCTCAGTCACCTAATGAAGGTTATCTGTCATCTGAGACGCCCTAAAGTAAACTGCTTGACCTCCAAGTTCAGTTCTGCAGGTCCTTTGTCCTGCCGCTTTATGGATAGGCTGATAACCTCTGTCTTACGCATCCACCTATGGGATATTGAATCAATTTCTAAATCTTAGTGGGCTTTCAGGAAAAATTATATATCTGGGGCACAATTTATTCCACATGCCTGAAAGTGCAGACATCCAGATGGAGAGATTTTATATGGCACGAGAGAGGCAAATGTCCTCCTGCCAGTGTAAGAAATGGATAGGCACTATACCCTAGAGCATCTTAAATGTCACTGAGTGGGCATTCATTCAGTGGGCAACTGAGTCAGTACCCTTTGTAAAGTCATCTACATTTAGGTGACTCAGTTGTGAACTGGATTCTGCCCTTGAACCTTAATCTGCCAGACCATCCCATTAAAATACTGAGCTGTAAGCCACAACACAGATGCAGCTCACGCACATCAAGCTTTTGTTCTAAAGGATTTTCATGATTTTTTAAGTTTTGCAGTCTCAGAGTAGGTACAGAGTTGAAGACTGTACCATGAAATGGATCAGAGAGACTGGAGTAGTCTTCTCACCCTACTCCCTTACATTCCATCTCAGCAACTTGTCACCGTATTTCTTAATTTACTAAACTAGAGATAATCATTATTCCTAGATGGGTAAATCACTCACTGTTAGAGGCGGGCTGCACATAGCATCCCTTCTCCAGCCATACAGTGAGCTTACTGTGCATTTGGAGGTCCCAAGCCCTCCCCAGAGGGAATACTTCTGCACACAGGTAGAAAAGCTGTCCTTCCCAGAGGGCCATACATGCAGGGTACAGGTCTCTCCCAGGAGCTACAAAAAGGAGGGCTGCACTGCAGCCCATGCAATGCACAGCATCATCTGTCCCTACTGCCACCTTTCTCTGGGCTGCTCCTTCACCACATTCTTTAGCTGGAGATAGGTTTAGTGTCTATGCACTAAACCAAAACTGTAAAGTAAATTCTACATGCTTTCACTGTGTTACAAACGAACATAATATTTTGCCAAATAGACAACACTGTACTAAATTCTTTGAGTGCAGAGCTAATTCATTATAATGCATCTTCTATGCAGTAGCCATACAGCCACATAACAGCACAGTAAGCATAGACACATAAAAACTGAAGAAACAGAGGGCAAATCAACTTGAGCTATTTGGCTTCAGGCAAAAATTAAAGCAAGCCATGCTGAAAACTAGTAATCTTATGCTGCCACGACACCTGCCTTCAAAGACTAAAAAGCCTGACAGCACTGGTTGCAGAAGCTTATCTGTTTAATGTTGGAAAATACGCATGCAACCAAAATTACATGTGTCATCTACAGTGGTTCAACTTCCCTTCAGTGTGAAGAGGACAATGAAGAGGGGAAAAGTTGCTGTCTGGCATTTGCAACATGACTATAACACAAAGAAGAGCAAAAAAACAGGATTCTGAGTTATCCTAAATATATCTTTCCTTTGTGTGTGTGATCATATGCTTGTGGATACTAAATACATTGTCCTGGCAGGTCAATATTAAGAATCATGGTTCTCATTTGCCATCAGCATCATGTGTGCAGCTCCCACGGGAGATAATGGGAGATAACCATGAGAAGGCAGAATTCACCATATATTCTTATTCAAACCAAATTCTGATATAGTTCTCTTGCACTGTGATTTTGAAACATTGAGAAGGGGACACTTGTGGTCAAGAAGCAGTGCTGCTTTCAAATTAACTGCATGTATCCCAAGGTGACGTGCTGCATAAAGATAGGGCATGCTTTGGAATATTAATTCAGCTTTTTGGTTTTTAAAATGAACCCACCAGTCCTTTCAATGCAAGAACTGGAAAAGTTCTTTTGAAGATAACATTTATTATGCACATCAAAATGCTTCAATGCAAACAGGACAGGCAAGATAACACATTTTAAAAGCTTTCTTGTTTTCCTTTTTTCCTTTCTAGCAAACAGGAACCTTTTATATTACTTTTCATTATTATTTTTTACTTGCTTCTCCTAAGCTTGGAGCTATTTATGGAAATTGCAGTATTCATGTATGGTAGCTTCAGTCAAAGATATCAGGATTGGTATGAGAGGAAAATTTCGACTGAAAGCTTGTTATTCACATCATTCTCTTCTCAGCTTGGCAAAGTTGAAGAATAACGTCATCTGTTCTAGACATTTCAGATTAGCCACAGAACTTTTCTTGGTGGTTCAGTGCCTGGTCATCCAGTCAGAGGAACAGTAATCCATATGGAAAAATTAGCTCAATGCTACTAGACTGGTGGTTAATACTTGAGCCTTAGTTAGGAATGTTCGCAGCATCTTGGGACTCTTTTCTTCCTTGATCAATTTCTTAAAATAGGATTCTTCATCAGAGGCTGAAAAGAGGAGGACTGTACTGAAGTATATTTTTTCCATCACCAAGTCTTTTTTTTTTTTTCTTAGGAAAATGATACATATATTTTAAATGTCCCATGCAAAAAAATGAAATAAAATAAAAAGTTACACAATTTGGTTAGGAGTTACATTCTGAATTCCTGCATAGTAGTTTGGTTGATTTGTGTCCTGGAATGATAATATACTTAATGTATAAATCCTGATACACCTGCCAGAAATCTGGTAACTACCTGCATTTTTGAGTATGAAAATGTCTTGACATTTCCTTTGAATCATTTTCAACTCCGTATTAACTCAGAAAAATTACTGCTTAACAACACATACAGAATGTTCCTTCCCATTTGACACAGTTTATTCTAAAGGGTTAAAATGTCTTGTCTAAATGAAGCAGGTGAAAAGGGCAGTGAACTGAGATGTAAAATCTTAAAAGCGGTCAGGTAAAGGTCACCCTTTGTCAGTTGACTTTGACAAACATCGGCTTAAAAGGGCATGTCAGACTTTAGAGGGAAAATTGTTAAATATTTTGTTTAAAATACAGATTTGTACAAAACAGTAGTTTTAAAAACTATGTATTAAAAATGTAAATGAATGAAGCAACTGCATTCTCCTCTGCAACCAGTCTTCAAAAACACCAGTAACACTGGAAAATCAACCCCCAAGTCTATTTTGATTTTGTTAAAATTGGAATTCTATTGAAATGCTGAATAAGCATAGTAATAAATATGTTCAAATGCATCTACTAAATTCATTTTTTCATTCACAATTAAAAAACACATAATCTAGTTGTGATTAGATGACAGAACTATACTACATAGAAGATTTGCTCTTGGTAATGTTAATTTTGAATTTATAAGGTATCAATAAAAAGGGACACTGGCATTATATAAACAGTTCATTTTATACGCTCTGTTCAATTCTGTCATTTAGAGGTTTTGTGTTTTATCTTTTTCCCAGTTTCTTGTGAGTCAAGATTTATCAATTAGAGGTTGAAAGAATTCACTTGTATTTCTGAGTATTTTACTTGTATTTTACTTTAGTAAAAAATGGAAAAGACTGAATACAGAAAAAAAAATCACCACAACTCAACTGTAAAACCCTGATTTCAAGTGAATCATTATATTATATGCATACCAAAAAAAATCTACACAGATATGACAGTCAAGATAATTAAGATACATGGCTTTCACCCTCCCACTAGACTAGGAACTGGCAGACTAAATTAGACCATAAATAGAAACGAGATTGTGTCACACACCAGTATAAGCATTAAAAAAAGAAATGCCTTACCAAAATTGTAGTGACAACTACTGTTCTATTCTCAATGGCTGAAGTGTCATTTCCAAGTGTAGGTTCATGCTGGATCAAAACTAATTTATCCATGTCATTCCAGTAACCAACCTGCAAAACAAGATGTATATAATTTACAGCAGAAAAGTTTACATTCTCTACAATTACGAATATAAATGATTATAAGAGCAACAGACTGATCTGAAGAATCAAAGAAAATGCTGTCATGCTCATACCCAGGTGGTATGCATCTAACACATTGGGTGTAGTATCTTGCACCACTTCTGCACAGTTGGACATGATACCACTGCCACTCAGCTGTTCCTGAATGATCTGAGCTACTTATTACAACCAGACACACAATTTAAATCCCATTTTCACTAGTTTGATGCCTTCCTGAGACATAAATGAGCTATGATAATTTTTTCTTTGCAAGAGAAAACTTTCATTCCTTAATCCTCCAGATCATCTGAGGTCTTAGATGGAGGAGCAAAAGACACTTGGATGACAGTTTTGCAATTCAAATGCTTACCTCAATTCCCTGCTCCGTGATGGGCCTCTCAGGAGACCCCAGCCCAGGGACTTACACGCGGCTAGTTCCACCTAACTGCTGGCATTGACCTTTTAGTACCTACCTTAGAAGCCATGTTATTAAAGTTTTCTTTACACTCACTGACAGACAGGCACCACCAGACAGTGACTCAGCTCACACAGAATAAGTACTCTTCCTAGAAAAGCGCCTGCTTTCCCCATTGACTCAAAAGCATGGTGAGAGTAACTTCACTTTAAAAATATCTCTGCTAAGTGCCTAAAGGGACATGATAAAAATTAGGTTTTCCTCTCCCTGGAAGCATTTAGGCTGCCATGACTCTCCCCAGAGCAGCCTTATGGTGACACAGCTGCCTTTTTCATTGCTGGCAGTAACCAGGGCCAGGTTTGAATCACTAGTTCTTGCATTCCCATTGAGAGAAAAATCCCACCCTCCCTTTTCCTTTTTTGCCATTCTCTTTTCTGCAACTAGATCATGGTTATCTGTGGATCCTCTGATAGGTTCCTGGGGAATGGCTGTTCCTCTGACCCAGTACTGACAGCACTCAGCTCCATGTCAAACAGACAGCAGGAACACAAACATGTCAGTAGAACAGCGCTCTAATCCCAGCCAAAGGGGCTCTCCAAGCTGCTGAGAACCTAATGAATTAAGAGACTGATCTTTTTCCTCAGGAAAGATGCAGACAGTGGCAGTGATTTTGAAAGGTTCCTATCAATTCAACCTGGCACAGCTCACTTTCCAGAAGCACCTGGGGACCAGTCAGCAGCCACTGCCCCTTCCCTTCACCCTTGATTAATCAGGGGTTCATGAGACCAAGAGCTGGGAGAGAGAAATGCTTTGTCCATCCTACCAGAAAAAGAAAGGGAATTTTAGCAGAAATCCCCAGTGTAACTTCAGCGCAAATGGACAGTCTGTGCCTTGGATGGAAAGACCTCAGTATGATGGGAACTGGCTAAACTATTAGATCAGTTATACAGCCAATATTGTTTCTAACATTATTGTGGAACCAAACTAAAATTCACCATCACACAGGATTCTGCCTCTACGATGTGGAGAAACATCAACGATGTGACATGAGAGACTAGAAGTGCATGGGAGTGATTTTAATTCCTGGTCTTATATAAAGAACCCTGTATATTCTTAAACCAGCCAACCTTCCTCTTAATATTTACATTTACTGTTTCATTCATTTCCTTTTCTGAAAAAAAAAAAAAAAAATGGAGAGGCAAGTCATTTCAGGAGTCCCTAGAGCAGTGTGCAGAAATACTCACCACAGAGAATTACAAATACATGAAGTGATTCATTATGTGTGAGTGAGATTGAATACAAGTGAGGATTTTTGGGGTTTGTTTTGGGTTTGGTTTTTTTTTCCTATTAGTGAAGCAAACAAGCACAAACTCTACCTGATCAGAACTTCTGTCATACTTAGTTGAATGTTCCTTTTCTCTTTGCAATTGCTGTACAGCACAGGAGCCTTGATTTAGGTGTCTGCAGCTAACAAGAAGCTTCAGCATTGCTGTTAGAGTGGAGAGGAAGTATTCTTCTAAGTAAGATGCACTTACAGATATTGTTTTTCATCCTGACAACCAGAGTCACAGATACAATTGATAATTGAAAATGTCAAGTTCTTGTCAAAAACTGTGACCAGCTAAAGGCAGAATATGCACACCAAAACCTGTCAGTTTGGGAAGCTCATTATAGTAGAGAATGATTGCTTTCTGTTGTGCAATTCCTTGTTGCTGGAAAGTTCAGAAGGAAAGCAGAAAATGAATGATGCGTTGTGTTATAAAAGTATGTAGCATATGAAAATGCAGACAGAGATAGAGGAGGTTTTTGAGGAATGGCAGGCATTTTTAAAAGGAATTTTAGTTTGTGTGCAAGGGCGTGAGCTTGCATGTGTACATCTCAAATCTGTGCTAAAGTAACTACAGAACTGGATTACTGCATAAATATACAGAATATATATCATGACACTTGTGTAAGTATATAGATTCACAGTCACAGTGGGAGCACTAAATAACAATATGCTTTCCTATAAATACATCAAATCCCTAAGGAAAAAAATTCCTCAAAGGATAGGATTGAATTCAGCAGTTAAAGTATATCCAATTCTATCTGGATTGCAACTGGAATGTACAGCAGTCACATACACTTATGCAGAGGTTGAATTTGTATTTTAGGAAACAACATTTAAAAAAAAAAATTCAGCCTCAAAGTAAGTCTGTGGCAGGTTTGTCATTTGGATGAATACTGCTATTTCTGAAGGCCTGTGTGCCTTGTAGCAACCACTGAGGTGCTCCTGCTGAAGCACACAAGTCACTAAGAGCAACAGAACACTCAAAATTTTGGATAATTAATTTCATGTTAGTTGCCCAAGCTGGAATATAGAATCCAAATCCTAGACTGTCTTGTGCATATACATGCATATACGTGCATATTTGTGTATATATATATATGCATATAATTTGTTTACTTTTTTTCTTGGTGACATGATGAATGGTGAATGAGAGAATCACAGAATGATTGGGGAAGAAAGGGACCACCCTGCTGCACAACCTAGAGCTAGTTGCCTAAGACCATGTCTGGATTGCTTCTGAATATCTCCAAGGATGAGGACTCCACAACCTCCCTGGTCAAGCTGTGTTAGCATTTGGATACCTTCAAATTACGAAGTGTTTCCTGATGTTCAGAAGACACCTTCTGTGTGACACTTTGTGCCCACTGCCTCTGCTCCTGTACGTAGGCACCAATGAAAAGAGCTTGGCTCAATTGTCTTTGCACCCTCCCGTCAGGTATTTGTACACATCAGTATGATCCCTCTTGAGTCTTTTCCAGGATGAACAGTTCCGGCTCTCCTAGAAGAGGCACTCCAGTCCCTTCATCATATTTGTGTTCCTTTGCTGAACTCTCTCCAGCACATCCATTCATCTCTTGTACTGAGGAGCTCAGAACTGGACACAGAACTCTAGGTGTGGCCTCACCAATGAGGAGAGGCAAAGGATCACCTCCCTCAACTTGCTGCCAATACTTTACCTAATGCAGCCCAAGATACCATCTGCTTTTTTTGCTGCAAGGGTACATTACTGGTTTATGTTCTACTCGGTGTCCACCAGGACCCCCAGTGTCTTTCTGCAAAGATGCATTCCAGCTGGGCGGCTGTCAGCATGCACTGGTTCCTGGGATTGTTCCTTCCCATGCAGAACTTTGTACTTCTCCTTGATAAAATTCATGAGGTTCCTGTCAGCCCTTTTCTCCCTCTGGATGGCAGCACAACCCCCTGCCATATCAGCCACTCCTCCCAGTTTGGTGTCATCAGCAAACTTGCTGGTGGTACATTCTGATCCAGATCCAGATCATTAATGAAAATGTTAAATGGGACTGGACTCAGTTTTGACCCCTGGGTTACGGTTACTGGCCTCCAATTAGATTTCAGACTACTGATCACCACCCCTTGGGCCTGGTCCTTCAGCTTGGTTTCAAACTACCTCACTGTCTGCTTATCCAGCGCATACACAAATAGCTTCTCTAGGAGTCTCCCACACAACATACTGTCAAAGACCTTAGTGTAGTCCAGGTAGACCATACCTACCACTCTCCCCTCATCTATGAGACCAGTCACTTTGTTGTAGAAATTTATCAAGTTGACCAAGCATAACTTCCTGTTGGAGAATTCGGCAATGCTAACTACTCGTGATTATTTTCTTGTTTTTAATGTGCCTGGAAAAAGTTTCCGAGAATAGCTGCTCCATCACATTCCCAGGAATCTACATGCAGTTCCCTGTGTTCTCCTCCTAGAATAAACGAGTACTTCCCTCCAGTCTTTGGGCTCTTCTCCCAGGTGCCATTATCAACCAAAGATTATTGAGAGTGACCTCACAATGACATCTGCCACCTCCATCAGTACGTGCGGGTGCACCCCATAAGGTCCCATGGACCTATGTATGTATGTCCAGTTTGGTGAAGTATTCCCTGACCTGATCATCTTCCATCAAGGGTACATCTTCCTTGCTTCAGCTTTTCTCTCTTGTCTCTAGGACCTGGGATTCTCAAAGACTAGTGAAGACTGAGGCAAAGAAGGAATTCAGTACCTCAGCCTTTTTCATGTCCTCTGTACTGAAGTCCTCTGTCTCATCAAGCAAAGGGCCCACATTTTCTCTAGTTGTCCTTTTGTCACATGTGTAAGCTCTTCTTATCACACCTGTGTAAGCTCTTCTTATCAGATTCAATTCCATTTGGGCTGTAGCTTTCCTAACTTCATCCCTGGATGATCAGACAATGTTTCTGTCTTCCTCCAAGGTCACCCATCCTTGCTCCCAATCTCTGTGTGCATACTTTTTGTGTCTGAGTTTGGCTAGCAGCTCTTTGTTAATCCATCCTAGTGTCCTAACATTTTTACCTGAGTTCTCATTTCTTGGGATGGAGTTCTCTTGAGCTTGGAGAAGGCAACCCTTGAAAATTAAGCAGGTATCTTAAGCCTCTTTTACCTCTAGGGCCTTACCCTTTATCTTCCAAGCAGACCTTTGACCTTCATGTCCCCAGCAAGTTCCTTCTCGGTAAGTAGGAGGTCTAGCAGCGCACCTTTCGTTGTTGGCTCCTCTATATCTTGGAGGAATAATTCTTGTCAATGGACTCCAGGAACCTCCTGGACTGCTTATATCCTGCTGTGTTGTCTCACCAGCACATATTAGGGTAGTTGAAGCTCTCTACGATGATTAGGACCTATGAATATGATGCTACTCCTACCCGTCTGTAGAAGGCCTCATCCACTTGTTCTTCAGGTGTCCTAGAGCAGACACCCTTTAAAATACCACCTTGACCTGTTGTCTCTTTAATCCCAACCCATAAACTCTCAACTGGCTCCTCATCCATCCCCAGGAAGAGATCCGTGCATTCCAGCTGCTCTCTTATGTAAATGCAGCCCCTTCTCTCATCTTTCCTGCCTGTCCTTCCTAATGAACCTGTATCCTTTGATAGCAACACTCCAGTCACAAGAGCCATCCCACTACATCTCTGTGATCCTTCTCACACCCTTTCCCCCCACCAACAGGTTTTGTTATTGTTCTGCAGATAAGAACCAAGTGCTGCATAAATGACCCTAATATGAGCATTAGCTATTGTTTCCCTTTACGAAATTATATGGAAGCCTGCCTCTGACTAGCTGTGCCAGTTTGTAATGCTCTCTTCACATCCTTAGAGCTGCGTGCAATAAAAATGACTTTTCTGAAGATTAGAGGCATGGTTTACTCTGACTGGAAAGGCTAGTCCTGAGAAGGTATTGCTGGATGACTCATAAATCATGTTATATAGGATGCGAGAAAAAGACATTAAAAGCAAAGTCCTCTTAGTTCAATTAAGTATAGCCTTTTCTCACATATTTTATGGGGTTTGTCAGGCTAGATCACAGAATTGGTCCAATGACCACATATAAAATACTATGTAATACATGAGAAGTAAATTCTTGTGAGCAGCCAGATCTGTCAAAGCTATCGCAGCTTGTTATATCAGACAGGTAATGGCTTAAGAGTGGCAGAGAGGTATGCCTGAAAAGGTAAGAAAAGCACCTTAGGATTCCAGCACAGCACAGACATAGCTCCTCTATTTGCAGCCACATTCCCCTTAAATTGCAGGCAAGAAGAGAGGGTGGGGGCAACTCTGCAGTGGGGCCAGCCAGACACCTCTCTCATAACAGATGACAAATACTGTAACAGAAACAGGCCACTTCTGTCAGTTTGCTGCCCAGCAAATTGCCTGATGAGTTAATGATGTTGTGACCTAATTAGTCACATCTTTTCCACCTTGCTTTTCCTCCTGTACAACTGGGAATAGAGGATGGAAAGGTCATATTTCACCACTTGCCTTTGATGCACCCCAGCCACCCATACACCCTCCTGGCTGCTGATAGTGCAGTGTGGAGCCAGGAAAGGAGCAGGAGTGGCAGCAAGGTCAGACACATTGCCTGGCAGGAGACACTGGCTTCCCAGGAGAGAAGGAAGACAGATTCACCTTTCCCAATTTATTCTTCAGCCATCTGTCATACTTTCCAGAGGCAACTGCACCAACAGGCACATGGTTTGCTTTGGTCTACCACTCTATTCTGTGATATACTGGCAATTTTTCATCCCAATGTGTAATACTGCTCAAAGTCTGTGGTTTAACACTCTGCCTCCTCATCACTGTGATATGTAACTGTCTTCAAGGTTACACAGTTAACCTGTAGTACCATTTCCTGGGTTTGTCACCTGTAGCCCAACAGCAGAGGACTGCTTCCTGCAATTCTGATTGCCTTGGCCACTGAAGTGGCCATGATTCTCCTGTTCAACATCAGCTTCTCACTTTTTTTTTGTTCTGATGACCTCTCCAACAAAACAGGACACTGTGCTTCCAAAAGAAATAAAATCCTTGAGCCTGAGTACATCTTCTGCTCTTTGTTTTATATACTATAGAAAACGGAAAAAATTCAACACAGAAGAGAAAGGGTTAACAAAGTACCCAGGCTTATCTTTTCAAAGTGATTAGGGTGAGTGATATGCTATGTGCATTCAGACACAGAGGATCTGCTTAGACATATTAATGTGCACTTGCTTAAATTGCTTACAAGCAGCTAATCAAACACACAGGATAAGACACTGCAATTAATTTCAGAAAATATAAGTATTCAGGGGATTGTTTCTTCCTCCTTTCTCCTCTTGTCTCCTCTCCCCCTTAAAAGACCTGTGCTGGTTACAGCCTATGATTCAGGTTTACACAGAACATACAAATTACCCCACCTAAAAATACCAGCAATTTTCAAGACAGAAATCTTTGGATAAGATACAAGAAATATCTATTCGTCAGAGTTCTGACCATTTTTCATTACCAGGCAGCCTAGCAACATGCCATCCAGCTGGTTTTCATTAGTATGCCTGACTGACTGACATCCACCACTCCAAGATGCACACTTGTTTTTGTGCTCCCCATTTGTTGCACTGAATAATAGTATCTAGTGGAAAATACAGTTTAAATCTGCTTTCACCAGAAATATTACCCATGTATTCAATATATTTTTTTTAAATTAGACAGAGTGCAGATTAATATGTCTGCATGATCATTTCATCATAGACAACTCATATGACATCAGAATAGTAAATGCTCTCAGCACATACCTTACGAGGGCCTGTATTTTTCAGCTCAAAGACATCCATGGTGTAGTTGACTCTGCGACCATAGTGGTCAAACTGAACATTTCCTGTCAATCCTTGTATTCGAACCTATAAATGGAAGAGAAAGTATCATGAAGACCCAACCTTATATTCTTTATTCCAAATGTCACAGAGCAGCGCAAGTTGCCCTGGCTATGTCCTTAGATTACTGTAACAACACTACTGAGGAGTAGTCAGTCATTATAAAGGAAAATGTTGGCTACTTTTCCTATGTATTTTTTTTTCCTGTCACACCATGCTCAAAAATAGGCTTAGATATGCCAGTATCTAAGTGCTAACAATGACACACAATGGACCTTTTCTTGCATGCTGTGCAGTTCAACACCTTCCAGCTTCAGGTCCTAAAAAGAAGTTTTTTACCATTGTCACCACTCCTGCAGAATATTTTGGATCACATAAAATAAACCCAAAGGATGACTGGCCTGAGCTCATGTATCTTTTTAGCTCACACTTTGGTGGATTACATGTACACATTGAGTATATACTGCTCATTAAGGTAAAGTTGACAGCAACCACAGCCTCAGCAAAGCAGTTTACTATAAAAGAAAATGGGCGACATGCATAGGGCCTGAAAAGAATGTTTCCAAAGCTTCAGAGTGAAGGACAGATATAAGATTGGCTGTGGCAATTTTCCACCACCTGTGTCTCAGCTGAAACCAGAACTCTATTTTTTCTGTCAGTGCTATACTGCTTCACAAAGGGATACCCAAACTGTGGTCCTCATCCCAAAGAAGTCATGACCATACTGTTTCTGGTTTTGATTGTATCAGGATCTGGCCATCCAAACCTCTTTGGCCAGGTTCAAAGGCTCATGCTAGCTCCCTGAACACAGAAGCCTGACTTCATGTTTCTCTCAATTGTCACAGATCTATGGGTCTGTACAGAGTATGTGAAGCATACAAAATGATTTATTTCTCTCCCTGAGAGTCAGGATGCAGATTAAAACCAGTTACTCTTTCCCCCTGTGCATTTCTATCTTTGTGGATTTTTCTCCAGGACTCAAACCTTGGCTTCCAGGCACAGCGCTGCCAGCTCTGTCAGCAGTCACTTCTCCTCAGCAATTTCTCCCGAGTGGAGCCTGCTCATTTGCAATGATTTAAATTCTACTGCAGGATTTTGATTTTCTTACTGCCCTATTCAAAGGAAAGGCTAAATCATCTTGACAGAAATCTGGAACTTTCTAGGCATCCATATTCATTGGGAATTCAAAATCCTGTCATTAGAGAAAAATACCTCTCATAATTTCTTTTTAAGGAAAAAACATACTACCTATGTGATTTCCCTGGGAAAAATCTGCTTTTAATCAAGACAATAGAAACATATTTGAAAGGTTATATTATGAGACCTTAAAAAGGCTAGGAGGATTAGCCAGTTTAATAAATGGTTAGAATGGTGGTGCCATAGTCAGGGGTTTGGGTATTTAGAACACAGGACTTGATTCAGGAGGCCAGGCCTACTGGGGGCTGGTGGAGCTGGTCAAGGGGAAGATCAGTTTTGGTAGGAGGCTTGCCAGACTGGTCAAGGAAGCTTTAAACCAGATGTGTTGGGGGTGGGGGGGAGTCATTCCATCCCAACACACCCAGTCAGTTGCCAGAACCTATAATAAATGCTCAGAGCAGTGCAGAGATATTCCAGCCGCTCCAGTCAAGGAGCTGGCTTCATTTGGAGCTCGGCTCAGATGCCTCTATACAAACACCCATAGCATGGGGAACAAACAAGAGGAATTAGAGATGCGTGCATGTCTATGGGGATATGATATCATTGGTATCACAGAAACATGGTGGGATGGCTCCTATGACGAGTGTTGGAATAGAAGGTTACAGGCTTTTTAGAAAAGACAGGCTCAGCAGGTGGAGAGTGGGAGTTGCCCTTTATGTTAGGGATAGGCTGGAGAGTACGGAACTGTGTCTGGGGACAGGTGAGCAGTCAACAGAGAGTTTGTGGGTCAGGGTTAAAGGGAATATAGCTATGGGAGACATTACTGTGGGGATCTGTTACAGACCACCTGATCAAGGAGAACCTGCAGATGAAGCATTCCATAGACAGATAGGAAAAGCCTCACGCTCACAGGCCGTTACTCTCATGGGTGACTTCAACCACCCTGACATCTGTTGGAACAGCGGTATGGCCTGGCACAAGCAACCCAGGAGGTTCCTCGATTGTGTGGAAGACAACTTCCTTCTGCAAGTCATAGAGGAGCCAACAAGGAGAGGTGCCATGCTTGACCTCGTGCTCACCAGCAGGGAAGGGCTGGTTGGAAATGTGATGCTCCAGGGCAGCCTTGGTTGCAGTGATCATGAGATGGTCGAATTTGAGATCCTCAGGACAGTGAGAAGAGCGTGCAGCAAGCTCACTGCCCTGGACTTCAAAAGAGCAGACTTTGGCCTCTTCAGGAACCTGCTTAGTAAGGTTCCATGGGATATAGCCCTAGAGGGCAGGGGGGCCCAAGACTCTTGGCTGATATTCAAGGATCACCTGCTACAAGCTCAGGAGTGTTGCATCCCAACCAGAAGGAAGTGCAGCAGGAGGGCCAGGAGACCTGCTTGGATGGATAAGGAGCTCCTGAGGAAAATTCAAGTGAAAAAAGAGGCTTATAAAAGGTGGAAGCAAGCACAGGTGGCTTGGGAAGAGTATAGGGATGTTGTCCGGGAAGCTAGGGACCAGGTTAGGAAAGCTAAGGCCCAGTTAGAATTAAACTTGGCTAGGGATGTGAAAGGTAACACGAAGGGATTTTATAGTTACATTGCAAATAAAAGACAGACTAAGGAAAATGTGGGCCCTCTCCGGAAGCTATTGGGAGAACTGGCTACACAGGATTTGGAGAAGGCTGAGGTTCTGAATGACTTCTTTGCCTCAGTCTTCACAGACAAATGCTCTGACTGCACCACCCAAGTCTTGGAAGGCAGACGCAGGGACTGTGAGAATGAAGACCTTGCACTCACTGTAGGAGAGGATCTGGTTCCAGACCATCTTAAAAATCTGAACGTGCACAAGTCCATGGGACCTGATGAAATCCATCTGCGGGTCCTGAAGGAGCTGGCAAATGAAGTTGCTAAGCCACTGTCTATCATATTTGAGAAATCATGGCAGTCAGGTGAAGTTCCCGACGACTGGAAAAAGGGAAATATAACCCCCATTTTCAATAAGGGGAAAATGGATGACCTGGGGAATTACAGACCAGTCAGTCTCACCTCTGTGCCTGGCAAAATCTTGGAGCAGATTCTCCTGGAAGGCATGCTAAGGCACATGAAAAACAACAAGGTGCTTGGTGACAGCCAGCATGGCTTCACTATGCGGAAATCCTGCTTGACCAGTCTGGTGGCCTTCTATGATGGGGCTACAAAACTGATGGACAGGGGTAGAGCAGTTGCCATCATCTACCTGGACTTGTGCAAAGCATTTGACACTGTCCCACACGACATCCTTGTCTCTAAATTGGAGAGACATCAATTTGATGGATGGACCACTCGGTCGATAAAGAACTGGCTGGATGGCCGCACGCAAAGAGTTGTGGTCAATGGCTCAATGTCCGGCTCGAGACCAGTAACGAGTGGTGTCCCTCAGGGATCAGTGTTGGGACCGGTCTTGTTCAACATCTTTGTCACTGACATGGGCAGTGGGATTGAGTGCGCCCTCAGCAAGTTTGCAGATGACACCAAGCTGTGTGGTTTGGTTGATACTCTGGAGGGAAGGAATGCCATCCAGAGGGACCTTGACACGCTTGTGAGGTGGGCTGATGCCAACCTCATGAAGTTTAACCATGCCAAGTGCAAGGTCCTACACCTGGGTCAGAGCAATCCCAGGCACAGCTACAGTTTGGGCAGAGAAGAGATTCAGAGCAGCCCTGTGGAGAAGGACTTGGGGGTGTTGGTCGATGAGAAAATGAACATGAGTCGGCTTCAGTGTGCGCTCGCAGCCCAGAAAGCCAGCCGTATCCTGGGCTGCATCAAAAGGAGCGTGACCAGCAGGTCAAAGGAGGTGATCCTGCCCCTTTACTCTGCTCTTGTGAGACCTCACCTGGAGTATTGTGTGCAGTTCTGGTGTCCTCAACATAAAAAGGACATGGAACTGTTGGAACAAGTCCAGAGGAGAGTCACGAGGATGATCAGGGGACTGGAGCATCTCCTGTATGAAGATAGGCTGAGAAATTTGGGGCTGTTCATGCTGAAGAAGAGAAGGCTGTGTGGAGACCTCCAGGGTCTGAAGGGGGCTTATAGGGACGCTGCGGAGGGCCACTTCATTAGGGACTGTAGTGATAGGACAAGGGGTAACGGGTTAAAACTTAGACAGGGGAAGTTTAGATTGGATATAAGGAAGAAGTTCGTTACTGTAACTTTGGTGAGGCACTGGAATGGATTTCCCAAGGAAGTTGTGAATGCTTCATCCCTGGCGGTGTTTAAGGCCAGGTTGGACAGAGCCTTGGGTGAGATGGTTTAGTGTGAGGTGTCCCTTCCCATTGCAGGGGGATTGGAACTACATGATCTTAAGGTCCTTTCCAACCCTAACTATTCTATGATTCTATGCAGCTATACCATTTTCCTTAAACGACAATATCTGTACATCCAGGTTATATGCAAAACTAACAGATAAGCTCACCAGTTCAGTCAAGGAAAGCCCAACTACCTTAATAAAAATAATAGAAGTTTCAAATAGTAGTAGCAGCCCTCTTTCTTCATTCCAATTTATAAACCAAAACAACCAGAACAGCCCCAGCTGTTTACAAACGACAAATTAATAACAAGCTTTCCATCTCTCATTACTACCCTTGTGCATAGTATCTTCCAAACCATATCTTGTACAACCTCTGTCCAATATTTAAAAGATCACCAGAATAAAGCCTGCCCTTACCTGTTTTAATGTCCTCTCCATATCAATTCCTTGACCCCATGGGGCTGCAGGGTTAGCAAGACAATCACCAGCATTTCCTCTCCTTGAAATATCAATTTTCTGCCTTCTAAGATTACGGAAAGTTTCAGCCATCACAAGCACTCCATCATATGTTAATGCAGATGTATACTAAATAGATGGACAAACACACCACTTCAGCATTGGCATGTCTTTACAAAAATTATCTGTCTCAGATATTTATAGTTCGATTCATTGTACAGCAGTTTCTGCACCTTCATTTATTAAAAAATTCTCCTCAAAAGCAAAAGTAATTTTGACTAAGGTAGAAATGCTGGACTGAGAAGAGTATATTTCAGTAGCTCCAGCTTTGAAACTGTATTTCTTAAGGGAGAGAAATCTACCTCTGAAGAGTTGTTAAAAGAACTGGAAATACTTAAGGTTTGTTTTTTTTTCCAATTGTCTTATGTGTTAAGGCATAATCCCACCCATCCAATTTAATCAAAAGAAAAGAAAGGAACACTAATTCACTGAGAAAATATAAATGCAAAAAATGCATGGCTAATGAGCAGACATCCGGGCTATTAGAATTGTTAAGAATGATTAAGAGTATCTTATCTCCTATCAGAAAACCTGTGTTGGCCCTCCGAATGATATAGGGGAGTGAGTGGTTTATGTTTCTACACCAACTACAGTAACTGCTTTAGGTTGAGAACATGCCAAATGAAATGTGTAAAGCAAGTCTTCAACAGATATTAGCCTGAAGCCACATAAACAAAGGGGCATTTTCTCAGTATGGTCCTCTGATGAACATACTGCACATGTGAAGTTGTTCACATGCCCAGGGCTGCTATTCATATGCCCTGGAACTTCATAAATTTTAGTTCACTTATTAAAATCTAATTTCCTTGCCTTCCTTTGTCTTGTATATTATAACCTCTTTGGGACACTGTTTATCGTTGTAATCTCAAATTTTGGTTATCCATAGGTGAATTATGTGCGATCTAGATTAATCATTGTATGACATGGTCTAGTGGGAGGTGCTCCCTGCCCATGGCGTGGGGGTTGGTACTAGATCATTTTAAGGTCCTTTCCTTCCCTAACCATTCTATGATTCTCAGAAGAAGGCAGCACAATCCTGTTCATGTGGCAAGGAGTCATATAGACTAAATTGTTCCTGTCACCACTACGTGGGGATATCTGCACTCCATAGCCCAGAGCATCTTTGGTTTTGTTTGTTTGTTTGTTTTTTATCTTCAGACATAAATTTCTTTAATATTCACTGAATTATGTAGCTATGCTTTGTATCTATGTTGATACTTTCTCTAAATTCTGCTAACCCACCAATCTCCCAGCCAAAGGAGGGCTGACTGCTTATCTTTGCACACTGCCCAGCATAAAGGATCCCATTTTCAACAAGGTTTGATATTCATTAGTACATATAATACCAGAACTATTTTGATGAAATCATATTTACAACTATGCTGTGATGTGCCTGCCAAGAAAATTATAGGTGAGAGATATTTTGTTATCCATCTGTGAGGGATTAAGAGAGAGGAACAGTGGGATGCAATTTCACTGTAAGGTTGCGCCTGAAAGTGATTACTACACCAGGTTTTGAGGTGGATAGGATTTCCAGAGGAAACTCCAAATGAAATTTCAGGGTAATAAATTTACAATTGCAGCTATATCTCATTTACAGAAGAGTTCAGCTGTCTGGAAAGCTCTGCACTCTAAGTGAATCCAGATAATTAGACTAATTAATGTAAGACTGGTTGAAATTAAATTGTCAGTTAAGCTTTTGACCTTTAATTCCTGTCAGTAAAGGGGTGAAGTTGGAGACTACATAACAAAGGACATAAAAGCACATCAGTGAAAAGTGTTGCAGTTTGTGTTTCTATCATACAATCATAAGGATAGACATAATTATTAGCAAGTATTAGTAAGATCAACTGCCTTCTCTTCTGCCTAAATATTAAGGTATTCATTTATGTATTCAACAACATTAATCAGAAATTAGAACACTTAAGTGATAGAACATTTGGTAGTGCTTCAGCCAGTACCTTTGGTGGGGTCTCAGATCCTGGGTATTCTCTCTGGTCCAGCTTCTTCCAGCGCTGCATCAGCTTAGCTACCATTGGGGTACTGAAATCTACCAGCTGAAATCCAGTTACATTGGCTCCTCCATGCATAAACCTCTCCAGAGAAATATCTTTGAATCCCTAGAAAACCAATTGAAGATTTTGTTTGCCCTTGCACATCACTGTGGGTCCAATCTGCTCTAGGCTAACAAGGCAGCGTAAGAGTGTACAGCATCAGGTTCCCATTAGACACTAATGTTGAACCTTTGTTGATGATTTCCATTGTGTAATAAAGAATGAAACAAAACCAAGAAATACATTTCCAGCATTATTGCTAGTGTGGTCTTACAGCTAAGCAACACATTGCTGGGAATGGCAGACAGTTTTTGAACAAATGCCTTTGGCGAATCAATTGAAAAGTGCCTGCAGAATATGAAATCCTTAATCCAATTTCCATCAAAACCCGCAGATTTGAATGAGCACTGCACTAGTGCTTTAACCAATATATGCCTGATTTTTACATGTTCGCGAAATGAACAAATATGTAAATAAGTTTATTCCAGGATTCATGTTTAGGCTGAAGGTGTCTGAGATGACGAGGTAATGTAGTAGACACTAGAAAGCAGATACAGTGCATGAGGATCTCACCATTAGTGAAAGGAAAACCTAACATCAGAATCACACTTTGATGAAATTGGATAGTGGTAGCTTTCAGATCTGCTATATATATATTGAAATCCTAGAGTGACCCACAATACTGAAAGAAACAATAAAGTACACATGCTTCCTGATTTACTAGTTTCTCAGGCTAATTCGTTCAGCATATATGAAGACAAACCCTTTAGTAAAAGTTGCCTTTAGAGACAAAACTGAACTTCAAGAAACTGCATAATGTAAACCACTAAAGCAAGCTAAAAAGCTAGCATGAATCATTCTAGCTGTTGCGTTTATCACTAGCTCAGAGCTATCTTATTTTTATTTTCTTAAATTTCTCTGATTGGCATTTATCCGTGCAATCAGACACGTACTGTCACACTTAAAAAAGGAAGACTGGGGGGTTGTGAGGGAAAGTGAATTATTGACCCAATATCCCAGGGAAAAAAAAAAAAACACAAAAAAAACTGTTAAAGATCGATATTTGATTCATGTCTTAAGGGATACTGACAGCAAATATAAAAGGTGACAGATCAGGAGGCTGTATTACCCACATTATTGAACAGCCAGCAGATATCAACATGTACCCCTGCTGAAGTAGATGGGTAGATATGCCTGTCTCCACTGTATATCCCACTATCAGTTCAGGTTTCTTGTATGCAGCAACGATTTTATATGGGAAAACTTACTTGGGGAACTATAAATTTGTGAAAATCTAATTTGTAAGACCTAAGAGAACAGACATATCTCATTTAAAATGCCTGAGGTCTTAAAAATAATCTGAAGTGATCTTGAGTTAAGGTACAAGTACAGCAAAGCACAATAAATATTTCATGTCAACTAAAATTCCTTGAGGGAGAGTAAAAAGAAAACAATTTAGACCATACACTAGACCCTGTCTTATAACCACTGTTCTTTGCCAGGCAAGTATTTGGGTTTAAAGAATAGGATATTTTAATAATAAAATACTGCATTTACTCTTTCTGTTTTTTTGCCCTCTCCCGAACATTATCTGTGTGAATATACAGTTTAGACTTGGAATGAAAATACTGAACTAGCAATTTGACTTGAAATAGCTGATTTTACAGCAAAATGAATGTTCCTTGGAGAATGTAGAAAAGTTACTTTGAGAATTGTTTTGTTAGTAATACTAAAAAGATGAGTCAAAAATCGTAGTGTGGTTCTGTAAATTCTAATTCAGCCACAAGATACTCTTGGCAGTCCTTTGTGCTACATTGATTTTGATAAAATTTGAGAGAAACCTTGTGCCCTTCTTGTCTAGATGGCTGTAACAACAAAACCAAGTTCTTTCACGCACCATAAAGAATGTATTATGTGCCACCACATATTAATGACAAATGGCAAATGTTGTGTGAAGTGCTACAACTTCAAAGTAAAGCTGAGTGTTTCACCTACAGAGCAAGGGTATAATTCTAGAAAAGTATCTTACCAGGTTGGCAACAATATAATGGTATCCTTTAACATGCTTTCCCACGCTCACAATCTGTGGGAGAGAAATGAGAAAAGAAAAAAACAACGTCACACTGTTTTCTCTAGGAAGGTGTTTTCATAGCCAGATAGATACAAATCATGAAATATGTAACATGTAATATGTTGATAGTCTTTCTCTGATAAGATAGCTATAACTTTCCAGGTGCTTAATCATAGGAAAAAGAAAATGAAAATGACTAAGTAATGAACCCGTAGTCTGTCTTCCATATGATCGAAAATGTAACAGTAGTATAGCATTTTATCAAATAGAGCAATTAACTATTGGATGAAAATTCATAAGGAGGAGATCATACATGGTCAAACATTAGCTAGAATGCCTACCTGCTGATGTTCTTTACATTTTAAATAAATGGGGAATTTTTGAATCAGACTGGGTTTTCACCTCTTAGGATGAAAGCTGTTTGCTGTTGAGATGGTCACATACTATGAGTGTTATACATCAATTAGTGATACGCTAAAGACTGGGAGTTGGCATGAGTGGGAACAGAGAAAGAATGGGCAGCAAGGCTACCCTTGAGTGTTTAACCAAAACATAACACCAAATGTTGCAAACAGGCGACAGCCATGATGTGCAGCCACTATAGTCCTGATATGGCAAGATCAGCAACAGAGTTTAGACAATACCTATGTCAGCCTGTGCCTTGTATCAATATTATTGCCATTTCTGTGAAGGAATGCATTTTATTTAACATGCTGAAAATCAAAACTGAGAATAGAATATTTTGTCGATAGAAAATGGTGTTAATTTAAATCGGTTTTACTAAAGAAACTAACAGTAATAGCTACAACATGCAGCTTGCATTTAATGCCAGTAAAGAGTACAAGAGTCCTTTTGACTCTTCACTTTTGGTAGTGCACCACTTATTCAGAGTCAGCTTGCAGCTTAAGTTTATGCTGTTGTTTTATTTGTTTGTTTTCCTCATGTACTCATCTCCACAAATCATTTTATCATCCTTCCAAATGAATAAATAAGATACAGCCAGAAGTTTTCTATGCAGTGCAGGTTACTCAGTAGGTAATGGGAAGCTTATAGATCTGCCTCCTTGCCTGCTTTGGTATCTTAGCTCTAGGCCCTGTCCTGAAAAACTGGAAGCTTCTTGCCTTTACAGATCCCACCTCCTGTTCAAAAGACAGAACAAACATTCACTAAGCCTTGCAGCTCCTTTTCCTGGTGCAGTAAAAAATAATTATCACATTTTGGAGATGAGAGGCAAGTTGCTGAAGGACTAAATAATCTGGCCAAAGACATCTAAGGACCCAGGACCTAAAGCTGTATTAACATTTGGAAATGCTTGATTCCCAGCTCTATTGTTCCAGTAAATCAATTTGTTTCTACAGCAAAGTGGAAGGGAAAATCAAAGGGGTGTGGCATAAGCATCTTGTCTGTAAAGTACCAAAGTAAATAAGCAATCTGTCTGTTATCCTTTTGTTCTTCTTTTTTCCCCAACCTCTATTTATAGTTTGTATATAAAACTATTTAAATATAGTTTATTTTTTTAACTATTTAAAAATCTTACTTAAAAAGCAAGCATAATTTAAAAAGCCCTTAGAGAAACCACTCCCCCCTCCCCCAAGCCATGACCAGATTGTCACCCTTCACTGGACTCAAGCACCCATTAAGATCAGTGATTAAACACCATTGTTACTATTTTACTGGGTGGGGTGGCAAAGAACAAGAGGGAGATATCACACTTCCCTACCAACACATGTAAGGAGGGTGCTGTCACAGTTGTTGGCTTGTTTTTTTTTCTTCACTGAATAAAAAGATTCAAGCTCCTGCTGGTTCAATGGTTTCAACAGGGATGTGATCCCTGACACCAAGAACGCTTTTACTTTATTCCTTCAGTAATACATGATAATGAAAATATGTTTGCCTACCCATTATAGGGAAGTTGATATAGATTAAATACTTACATTTTTAAATAACTACAGTATCACAGTTTGAATGTAAGTGGACTAACATGATTTAAGATGTATGTGACATAACTATGTACCAGATCCTGAGCTTGGGCAAATGACTGCAGCTCCTTTCTTTGGCAATTAACACCCTTAGTGATCTGCTCCCTGGTTTGGTTTCATAACACAAATTGTGATAATCATTGCAACATTATCAGTCAAATACAGCAACAACATGATCAATCTATAACCGGTGAGGTATGTCAGATGCAAGTCCATAGTTGTCACAGACAAAATAAGTCAATACTGAAAATGATTACCCAGATTTGCTTCTGTGCCTGTTCCTAGCAAATGCATGTATATATTACTGCACAATTCCTGTATTTTTTTTTAAATGAGTTTTTCAGTGTATTCTCTCAAAACTTGTCTCTTAGGGTGAGTGATAAAGGTATGCATTTATGTATCATCTAATTTTCTTAACTTCCTTTTTAGTCAGTGGAAAGAGCAGGCACTTTGAGGAAATGATTCATCTTATCCTAAAGCACATGTGCAAAATTAATTAGACAGCTTGTGCCCTGAAAGTGCGGATTTTTCTGCACTGACAAGAAAAAGAGTTGATGATGATTAGCTCTGATGTAGACACCTACATTTTATATCCCTAATGTTAACGAAGCCAAATTTCACTGTAAGAATGTTGATCATGAAAACAGAGAAGAGAAATGGTGCTATATGGCTTGTATTCCCAACCAAGACTGGATACAATTTTGATTTTGAATTTGAAAATGCTTATGGTTATTAACCATACAGTCTGCAAACCAGAAATTGCCTATGATTTGGGAAAAAAGTGCCTGTTTAGTGAAACATGCAGTAAGCACATCATACTTTTGAATACCCAATACAAATACAGTCACCTTTCTCTCTCAAATGATCAAAGTTGCAGATTATGATCTATAAAAGAGGATATGAATTCTTGCTACCTGAAGAACCACCTTTCTCTATACTGTGCTTCTGCACTAGAGACAAATTGAGGCAATGCACATAAATCCTTCATAACAAGAGAAGTTTCTGACAGCTACTCAGTCTGGAATGAGAACTCTCGGACCTTTCTTCCTATTCTTTAAAAGGTTAGCAGTTACTAGAGCTTTAACAGAGACAAGACTTCAAACAGTCCATACACATAACAGTAAATACTGCCCAGAACCACAAACTAAACAGACAAGTGCTGGCGAGTGAAGGAAGAATTTTTTTCTTCTACGTCAGAATGAAGATGGGGGGTAGAAGATTCAGCAGATGTATTCTGAAAGACAAACAGGACTGAGATTTTGACAGGTGAGACCGTGTTCTAGAAAGCCTTTGCTATAGAAGTTCATTAAGATGGGGGCACCTTAAAACAACCTTGTACAACACTTAAATTCAGACCAAAGGGCCAATCTCAGTCACAGTCCTGAGAGAGGGCACAGTTGCATTTGCCTAACATCTACATTAGTGAGTAGCATAGTTGGTAAGATAAGATCTGTACAGCAAAGGCATTGGTGCGAAGGAGCTCACATCCATCACATGTCTGTTTCAGCATTTTACTTTGGGTTGTCTTTACCCTGGTCACTAGAATGAACTCACACTACTCTTCAGAGGCGCTTCTATGCACATCTTCTGTTTGGCATCATCCAAAAGAAAGCCAATTCATGTATTTTGAGTCTGCTCTTGATGTACAATGCAGTGAATCAGGAGATTCACTTCAAAAGACCCTGTTCCTGAAACCCACTATGATGCTTTCCATGCCTGTGGACCCCGCTCTCTTAGACAAGCCCTGAGCATCTGTGGGGCATGTAGCAAATCCATGTATATCACAAGGTTGAGCAGTGAGAACGGTCTTCATTTCAAAAGGAAGGCTGTGAAGAGACGGCAACGCTGCCACAGGCACCCGTGGCAGTTCTGCCTAGGAAGGAGGAAGTCTGACTTGGCTCTCACTGTGGCAGGTTGCAAAACCTGAGGCAGGGCTAGGCATCAAAGGTGGGCTTTGCCAGTCACAGAAGCAGTGGTAAACCATGAAACTGCTGATACAGCAGGTCAGGGAGGACCCTCTGTATGTGTAACTGTCCTTTTCACTGCTTCAGAATGCTTTGATTCAAAGCTGCCCTAGTGCTGGCAAGCTGAGTAAGTGGGATGAGATCCATTCCTCCCCGCTCATGTAGCACTTCTTCACTTACACGCTCATGTAGCACTTCTTCACTTACACCTTCTAAACATTTATTTTTGCACTGTACTCCCACTCTTAAACACCACTTCTCCTTAAAGACTTCTTAACCACCACACACTGCACCCAACTTTTGTCACTGTGAGAGTTTAAGGTGACCTCAGCTTTCTCAGGGAGGTTTCGGAAAGAAACTGCTGGGAAGGATGAGCTGAGTTGTGACTTCTTTGGAGAAGGCTGACAGCAGGGGAAAGCAGGATGCTGCAATGGATTTTGTGTATTGATTTGCATGTTTTGATTCAATGACCAAGGTGGTTAGTGCTCAGAATTGGAACTCTTTTATATTCGTATTTGTAAAACTAAAGTAATTATTAAGTAATCAACACTGTTTTGAGGAAGAATACAATCTGCTTCCCAAATTGCCATTAACAGAAAAGACAACAGCCATTCCATATATTATCCTGTAGTCACACTGTTAGTGAATCCTTCATTTCAGTGAATGCAACAAGAGAGAACCAAAGGAAGTGAAGTGTAAAGGCCATGAGGCTATCACGGTTATTTCAGAATCTAATGCAACTCTTTTTCTTCCTTTTTTTTTCTTTTTCCTCACAAATATTACTGTGTATGTGATTGTCTGCAGAAAGGTGAACTTCGAAGAAAAAACCAAACCAACAGCCTTAGGCTCCATTCACTTTACAAAATGTATTTATGTATAAGAAACTAAAAAGAGCAGTAGCTTGTGAGAATTTTTGGTTGCTGATCTACCATACTGCAATTAAGAAAATGCCATATTCTCATTTTGGTGATACTAGTGTAACCAAATATAATAGAATTATACCACTGACTTTAATGTGTGGTAAAGCAGGGCCAGTGATATCTGAATCTAGCTTAGGCTTTAGACACAA